AGCAGAAAACAAAAACAAAACCTACCTTCCTAACAAATTTCTTTTCTTTCTGTGATAGTTCCCAGTGGAAAAAAAGTCCCTTTACTGTTACAGATTAACAACAGTTCTACACTTTTTATAGTCTGAGGTTACTTAGAAGAATTGAGATGAACTGACTTAGATAAATGACTATTTCTGTCTTGATTAATACGTAATTATTGAATCAGGAGCAAGGTTTTTCCTCTTTTCTACTTCTTCATCCAGAAATTAACCAGTGTGGGAAATCTCTCTCAAAAACTTACCCAAACTAAAGAACTAATCGAAAACAGTAAAAGAAATTCTAAGTTTAGGCTAATGGATGGATTCCTGCTTATTATAAGGAGAAAATATGGATTCTCCCTTTTGTCAGACAGATGATATGGAAACTGTTAAGTCTCTTTGACCAAGATGTGGGGGATCCAAGTCACTACCCCAAAGACTCTCATTTTAATATAGCCCACCTCCCATTATAATATTCATTCTCTCTTAACACTTGCTGATCAAAGTTGATTTTCACCCTCAGGTGCACCTCTTTAAAAAAAAACTTTATAAAATTGACGGTTCCACAGATTGAGTCTCTTGGCTATTGAAGGGACAAATGAGCCTGTTTTTGTCGACTGCTTCCTAGATGTAGTCAATAAAACTGATTTTAATTTACCCAGAAATTCTGTCTCTCAGAGCTTTTTAAATGTCACATGACTTACTTAGGGTCACATAGCTAGTCTGTGTCACAGGAAAGACTTGAACCCAGGTCCACCTGACCTCAAAGTAGACCTTCTACTTAGCAGGCCTCTCTCTCCAAAAATGGAATAGGCCTCCAAGGGCATTGAAGTTGCCCCTCAATGGAAATCTTCAAGTAGAGTTTGAGTGATTATTTAGGGGACACTAGGTGGCTCAGGGGATAGAATGCTGGGCCTGGAGTCAGGAAGACCTTGAGTTCAAATCCAGACTCAGACACTCACTAGCTGTATGATCCTGGGCAAGTCACTTAATCTCTGTTTGCCTTAATCCACTGGAGAAGGGAATGGTGAACTCCTCCAGTATCTTTGCCAAGAAAACCCCATGGACAGTAGGGTCCATGGGGTCACAGAGAGTCGGACACAACTAAATAAGAACAGAATCACTTACCACATGTGTTTCAGTGGAGATCCTTTCCCTGGTACGGATTGGTCTAGGACCTAGCAGTCTGTGATGTCTAACATTTCTGAAATTCTATGAATGTACAAGAACAAATCCAGTAATTGGGGAAAGAAACAAGGGAATTGTTTGATCCACCAACGAGTGAAATTCATTAAACTTTTCCACCCTTAATTCAAGGGTAGCAGTAGGAGCTAAAACAAAGAAGGAACTGATTGCTGAATTCTTATCCACTTGTTAGGGCCCTTAAAATAATCTCTAAAGCCAGGGCTAAATTCTCCCTTCCCCCTCAGTAGCTTTATTTTATAGGTTCCAAAGTAACAAAACTGAATTTCTTCAAAACACACAGTATAATCCAGACTTTGCTCTAAGCCAGGCTGACCTCCTCCATCATTAGGGGAAAAGAGAGAGGTTTTCAGACAAGAGTCTCGAAGAGTACCTACATAAGAAAACTACAGGACCTGATTCTGCTTTGGGGAGGAGCTTGGGCACTAAATAAATTTTCCTAAAGAAAGTGGAAGGTAAAAAAAAAAAAGAAAGTGGAAGAAACCTCATCTTGTGATATGTTTGCAGTCAGACTGGACAAGACAACAGAGACCATATTAAGGTACAATCTTTCCTTGGCTGCAAATTGGACTAGGTCATCACCTTTTCTCCCTGCAACAAAACTTGAATGATTCATGTTTCTATTGAACATTTCGAGCCTGAAGGAACTCACTTAGACATCTCATTTACACTTCCTCAAATCAATGACCACTACTCCCAGGCTCCCCTTGCACACAGTAGGCAATTTAATGAATGATTATAGAAGTGATGATATGGCTGGTGATTTTTTTAAGCAACATTAAACTCTTCAACCTAAGTGTGTGGCCACCCCAGCTAGGAGGGCTAAAACACTGGACTGGGAGCAAGATGACTTCATTTCCAGCAGGTCTGTACACATATCCATGCAGCTATTAGTGACTGTGGGTCAACTCATTTAACTCTTTTGATTATCAGTTCTTTCATCTACAAGATGCTAATAATACTTGACTTGACTTTCTAGAATCATGGGAATATAATAACTGAAAGGGACCATTAGAGTTTACGTAAGGAAACAGGTCCAGGTCATAAAATGACTTGGCCTAGGTCAAAGGTCCGCTCCCTCCCCATCCTGGGTCATCTCCAGTTGTCTGAACCTTATCTGGCCATTGGACTCAAATGGCTCCAGAGGAAAAAGTGAGGCTGGTAACTTTGCACAGCCCTCCTTCACTTAAATCCAATTGACTTGCATGTCATGGCATCACCTCCCTGATGTCATAGTCCTCTTTGAGAATGAAGGACAAGCAGCAAAGAAGCATGCCAGAACTGGCATTAGAACTGAAGTCCCCAGACCCTGCAACCCAACACAGTTCTACAATATAGCCCACTGTCTCCTCACAGAATACTTGTCAGCAAAATGGTTTAAAAAGGGGGGGAAGGCAAATACATAAATGAGCCATTTATATATATGAAGCAGCAAAACATAATATTGAGAGTACTAGGGACAGCTAGGTGGCACAGCAGATAGAGCACCTGTCCTGGCATCAGGAGGACTCGAGTTCAAATCTGGCCTCAGACCCACAACACTCACTAGCTGTGTGACTCTGGGCAAGTCACTTAACCCCATTTGCCTCGCTAAAAAAAAGGAGGGGAAAAAAAGAGTACTTGGCACTAAGGTGACCTGGATTCAAATACTGCCTCGAACATACTGTCTTTATGACTTCTGACACTTCATTTAACTTCTCAGTATCCTAAGAAACCCTCGAGGCTAAAAGTTGCAGAGCTATTGCTGATTAGGGAATTTGCTATTCTAGTGAAACCACAGGCCCATTAATACATATTGTATGTATATTTGGATATAGAGATATAAAGACATGTTTATGTTTTTGAGTACAAGCCTGCCTGTGTGTATTCATCTGCCTAGAACCTTACTGGTCCCTTGGCTTTTTCCTAGGCACTCTCTTAATCCATCCTACCTATAACTACTAGATTCTTTTAAAAATCAGTATTAATCACATTATTTCCTTCTTCAAGAATATAATCCTACTCCTCATTATCTATAGAGTTAGGTCAAAACTCCTTCTTGGTTTTGCTCAAACGCGTCTTCTGACCTCGAATCTAGTCTAAGTCCTGAATTTACACATAAGGAAATTGAATCCCAGTGAAGAAAATGGGCTTACCCATAGTTACACAGAAAGCTACTAGATGATCCAGGACTCAAATCTAGGGTTAACTCTTAGCCAGAGGAGAGGGAAGAGGGGGAGGCAGAGAAAGAAAGAGGAAGGGCAGGGGGAAAGAGGTGGGGGGGGGAAGGAACAAGATGGGGAGAAAGAGGAGGGGAAAGGGGAAAGAGAGAAGAGGGAGGAGAAGGAAGGGGAGGGGGAAAGAAAAGAAGGTGAGAGGAAAAGGAGAGTGAGTAGGAGGGAAAAGTGTAGGAGGAAGAGTAGTATCTGTAACCAATCTTCACTTGAACCGGTTCTTTCCAATACGCCATTTATTCAGTGGCAGTTTCATATTCAGTTGGGGAAGGGGGGCAGGGGAGCTCTCTGAAAATATTTTCTTCATATTTCTAATTTTTTAAACTTCCCCAATAAACTGATTTCGTACCTCCCTGTAATTCCTCACGCAAGACACTCAATCTCTCCACTCTGGGCATTTTCACTGGCTGTCCAAAATGTTTGAACTCCTTCCTTATCACCTGTTGGCTTCCACAGCCTCCTTCAAGTACAAGGCTTCTACAAGAAGTCTTTCCAGATCCCCCTTAATTCCAATATCTTCCCTCTGTTGATTATCTCCAATTTTTGCTGGATGTTATCTTCTTTATACACAGATGTTTGCATGTTATCTCCCCCACTTGACAATGAGCTCCTTGAGAGGACAGATGTTTTGTTTTCTCACATGTTTGCTTCTCTGTATCCCAGCTGCTTAGCACATAGTAGGTGCTTAATATATACAACCCACTATGGAAGTAGTTAGTCCTAACTCAGCAACCAGCCAAACACAAGAGAATTAAATGTGTTTTCCTCCTTGTCCTCAACTGTCTTCTTCAATGATGTGCAAAATTAAACTTAAGAACTTATTCTTGATGACACCCCTTCCATCTTCAACATCAAACTCTTGTCCCGGTTTCAATTCTCACCAGAGAACCCCACCCCAGGCTCTTTGAACCATCAACCAAACAGCAGGCTCACTGAACAATTGTAAAGGCTTCAGGAACACTCCTGGTGTTTGTTAGTGGGCTCCCACCCCTCATTCACACAGACTGCACATCTGTTCCTTTATCAATTGCTGGCACATAAACCCAGAGTGGTGCCAACAAATGCCATGTGATCTTGTTCACTAATTAAATTTCGCATTGCTCCCTCCCTTGTTCTCTGCCTGAAACTATTAGACCCTACCCCCCACAACCACCATGAGGGTGAAACTCTGTCTGGTTACTGAACTCTGTAATGAAAACCCTCCATTACCCTGAGCTAAGGTTTTAAATAAGCTAGCCTAGGTCCCATCAAATTTCAAAGAGATGTATTGATTCCAAAAACCAATTTATGATAGTGGAAAAAAGTTTTCCATGAAAACTAAAGACCTAAATGAACAAGGATTTAACCAATCCCTCACAGAATGTGCAATATAAAATTTGCATCGCTGAACAAACACAGAAAGGGGAGAAAAATTGAAATTGAGATTCAACTTCCTCATCCTTGGCAAACCAGGCCAAGATATTTGAAGAACGCAAACTTGAAGCTACCTCATCAATAAGTTTATTATTGACCCATACAGATACTTCAAAAAGGACCTGACAATTTAAAAAACAAATTACAGCAAAAGAGAGTTGAAAAAAATCTCAAATCTTTATTTTGACTATGCCCAGCCCTTCATTTTGAAGGAAATGATACAATCTGAAATCTGAACTTCCTTCTCAAGAAGCAGTATAAGAACAATGACAGAAAACATAGCCTCCAGTGAAAACAAAAAATTCACGTAATTCATGGAAAAAATGTGGTGCTTATCCTATTAGTGTATGAAAATTCTCTGAAGGATTACAGTATCAAATAAAAAACTTCAAGTAGATTTAGTGAAACATTTGTTCACTGTAATGGAAAGTCATATAAACCACTCAAGTTTGAAATTACCCTGATTTTTTTTATTTAAAACAAAAAAGGTGTGGCTTTCAAAACCGAAATCCATTCATCAGTAACTATAATCACACTCCAATTTGTAAAAAGTGGCTGGTTAGACAAACACACAACAGTGACAGTCTTAAACACAGTGAATTCCTTTAAGAAAAAAAAAGTTAGAAAACAAGCAGTTAACATGTACTTAGTTCTCCATATCTCATTTGTTGTATAAAAGTAAAATTCTGCTTTCAAAAATATCTGTTCCCCCCCACCCACCCAGAGCTGGTGCTGAAAATAGCCAAAAGCACCCAATGGGCAAAAATTCGACCACATAAATGTCTTTCTTGAAGACTATAACACTTGCACTTTTAGGTTCAGAATAAAGTATACTCCTCAGGTTGTATCTTTGCTACCTGAGTACCAAACAGTAATTTCAGTTAAATGTGGGTGATACTACCAGGGGGGAAAAAAAAGTTCTGTCTTGACCATAAAAGAGCTGTAAAGCTGATGTCTAGGGCTCCTGCAAAGCTCATTCTTACATAAGTGGTCTCAACAAAATATTTCCTCAGGTAAGAAAATATAAATTTGACTTTAACTTCATGTTCCAAGTAGGGCATCTTCCCTCCCTCTCTTCCCAATGCAAGCTTAAAAAGAAGCCCTAGAATCAAACCCATTTTTCCTTCAAAGAGCATCCACAATTCATAGTACAAAATATTTCTAAAGGATTTTTAATCCCTTATAAAGGAACAAAAAAATATGCTTAAATATTTATTTAGAAATTTAAAGTGCCAGGTGAAACCACTGCTATGAGGCTTAAATAAAAATTTGTATCCACAACACTGCCACCTGGAGGAAAATTAATCTGTCAGCTCATTTGTTTCTCTCTTGAACCAAACAGGAAGAGAGGAGGTATGCCAACTTCTAAACCATACTGAAGATTCTTAAGGAAAAAAAAGAAAACCTTTGGAAATTTGCCTCTACATACCGTAGCTAATGCAATACGTATTTTTTTTTTCATGAAGGTTTATTAAAGTTAGGCTGGGAAAGGCTTCCATGCTAGGTCTTTTTCCTCTACCGCAGTAACTAATGAGCTCAATTTCCCTCCCAATCAACCTCTGATTTTCCATAAAGGCACTCATAACATATGTTTCTGTCGGAGCTCCGTTTTCCTTTCACAATGAGTTTCTTTCAATGTTTCTTCATTTTAATTCCCAACATCTACAGTGAACTCTGCATGTCACTGTAGACCTTGTTGAGCTCTCCAGTAAAGGGTGGGGAGAAGGCTATCAGCAGAAGCTGGCAGAAAATATGGGCACTTTTTGCCCATTGGTCACTGTTCATTAGCCACTTCCCTCCCGAGTGTAGACAGAAGAAAGGGAAGGAGATGAAACTCAAATCTGTCAATTCTGCTGCTTGTTAGCAGGCCTAGAGAGGCAACTGAGACTATTGGCTAAAATTAGGTCTCTTGCTTTTTTGTAATTTTGTTTATCCATGCTTAGCTTGTCCCACCTCACCGGATGCAAGATTGATTCTGGGTAGAGGAAGCTGTGATAGGAAGGGGAGGGGGAGGGAGAGAGAAGTAACTGACTGAGGACTTAGACTCTGCCTTCTGACTGAAGTTCCCACTGTAACAATGCTGAATTTTTTTTTTGTCATTTCTTTCTAGAAGCTACACCTTTGATCTTGACAGGCAAAGGGCTAGGGTGGTCAGCTACAAATTGACAAAAGTGGATATTGTGAGACTATGTAACTGTTGGTAAGTTAGAGAAAAAATGCTTAAAAATCACTACATTTCTGAGCTTCAGGGCCCTCAGAAATCATAGCAAACATCAACATATTAAAGAGGAAACTGAGGTGCAGAGAGGTAAAGTGACTTGCCTTAAGGTCACACTGAATTTTCTTAAGCTTCTGTTAAGGGGCTTAGACATTTAAAATTGCAATTTTAAGGTCAGAATATTTAGTTTACAAGTACACATAAGCAGATAAAAAAATTAAACAAATTATAAGCCAGGCTGTGACTAAGATAAATATAGATGCTAAAGGGTTACTATATTTTCCCTGCCCAAGCTATCAAATCTGATTTTACTCCAAATTCAAGAGAATGCAGCTTAATGTACCCTTAAATAATTTTATAGTAAGTCAGATGATCACTATGAGTGCTTGAGCACTGTAGATTCACTATAGACCCTTTCAGTAAAAACAAAACCGAACCCAATCCTTTGTGGCAACATGCTCCAGAGCAGCATTAGCAATGCCAATACTTCTGAGCCAAGCTGGCTGCATCCTAAAATTAAGTGTACAAATCATTTTGGGACAGAACAAGCTTTTCAAATGGCAGTTCTTGAGATGGGGGGAAAAAAGCTTCATCATTAACTGAGCAGTAGCTCATTAGCAAATATCAGAAATAACTGTTCAGTCTATTGTCTGTTTCCCACAGATGCTGGGCTAAACCCATGAACAACCCCATTTGCTCCTTATGAGATCAGTAACAGTATTTCTCTATTTTTCTGTTTTAAGTACTCACAAGGTGGCTTCTATTTATGACTGATAGAGGAAGAGAGGAAAAGGAGGGGGGAAGAAAGAGAAAGAGAGAGAGAGAGAGACAGACAGACAGAGAGACAGATGTTCTGAAAGAACTTGTTTTCTTAAGCAGTGAGGAGATCACTGTGAGCTAGGGAAAAGATATTCAACACTGGTTTAATTATATTAAGTGTTGACTTCAAAACAAAAGCATTTTATTATTGAAATAAAGCTCAAGTCAAGTAGATTTTCACTAGCCTAGTGCATGGGAAGTAGCCGGGAACAGAAGTCATTCACAGAGCCAACAATTAATAAAAATTAATCATGAAAAAATAAGAGAGTAGTGGTGCAGCCTAACCTCACTAGATAGAAAGGGGGGAAAAAAGCAATCCTGACTGATTAATTAGCAATGCTGCTTTGGTAGTGATACTGCGAAAAGTAGCACCCAGGTCTCCCTCCCATCCCCTCTGTTCAGCGTAGGAACAGAGCTGAGCAAGTTTAATTAGATCAGTGACAACAAAGGGCCATTCCCTCTGCCTCCAGGTTTCTTTTAGTAACTAATAGCTCAGCTCTAGTGCTTACAGCAGCACCCGAAGAAACAAAGCCTAACCTTAATTGAATCCTTCCCCAAGCCATGCCCCTGACAATGATTTACTTGTAACCTGGGGAAGGAGGAGCTGAGAGAGAGAACAGGAAGAGGGACATCTTCCAAGAGCCCCGCTCCCAGCATCCAACTACTTGTGGTAACTGCTCATTAAAAGGGGGAGGAGGGAAAAGGAAGGGAGAGGGGCGGGGATAGTCTTTGTCTCTTTTCCAGCAGTTTACAGAATCATTTGTTACACTTATTATAGCACAAATGGGTCTGGGTCTGCAGCTCTCAGATCTTCCCACTGTTTCCCCGGCCTGGCTCCCCAGGAATCCCACGAAATTAATCACTCCATCTTCCCCCAATCCACATGCGGCGCTCTGGGGAGAGTGGAGGTGGGGGGTGGGGGTGGGGAGAGAAATCTGCAGCCCTTCGTGCCTTCCTCCCCCGAGCTCCAGCAAACTCTCACTTAGCCTTTGTTCTAGTAACCGCAGGAACGTGCTCAGAGCCAGAAAGGTGAGGGAGAGAATGCCTCAGTAGACACAAGCCTTAACTTTTGCTCCTACTCCGTGAGTGCAAGAAGAATGGGTCTACTCCAGAACACCACCGTACACCCCACCTCCTAAACCTTTAACGAACTAATTCCTGAAGTAGAGGGGAAGGAAGGGGAGAGAGGAAGTGAAGAAGGGAAATTTCTGGATTATCATCTTCCTCCCTCGCCTCCCTCCAAAATGCACAAAGGACTGACTTTCCTGGCTAGTCCTCAGACTCCTGCTCGCTACTTTCTAAGTTTCTGAGCTTTAGTAAGGGCTCACTGCACCCTAGCCTCCTAAGAGCATGCTCCCCTTTCTAAAAAGGCTGGAAACCCCAATGGGGAGCAGAAGTGGAGAAAGAACGAGGAGAGTCGCAAGGCAGCTGTGAACAGCTCAATTTCCTAGCCGCAGTCCACATCAGTGTGCCGCCTGCGAGTGGTGCTGTGAGGGAGGAGGAGTCGGTGGAAAAGGAGGGAGCTCGACAGGCTCCACAGTAGTCCGGACGAGCTCCCCATCCCCTTCCTCGGGGTCCACAGGGTGCAGGTGGGTGGCTAGTTCCTGCAGCACAGCGGCGCGCCCAATCTGATCATTTCGTCTCTTCTCCATGATTAGGTCCTCCAGGCTCTGAAACTCCAGCGTGTGGCTGCGCTGGGCAGAGAGCTGGATCTGCAGCCGGTAGGGCTGCTTGCCGATCCGCAGCTCCCCGCCAATCTTGAACTCCCGCTTGCCATAGCGGCACCAGGCGGCGAAGCTCTCCGAGTTGCGCCAGCTCAGCTCCCGCTCCTTGGCGCCCACCTGCGCCAGCGCGTTGCGCACCACCGTGCTGGGGCTGAGGGGCTTGTAGCGGTACAGCTCGTTTACCACCCTGCCCCGACGGCCCTGGCTGGCGTCTGTCAGGAAGCTGTTACTCACCTCCAGTCGGTGCAAATGCACCACCTGGAAGTCGCCTACATATACTGCCCAGTGTGGGTACTGGGCCTGGGAAACAAACTCCACTAAGTCCCCTGGCTTGCACTTGTTGAGTAGATTCTCCGGGCTGTAAGTGCTCAGCGCAGCCGGCCCCGAGGAGAAGCTCTTCTGATAGATGCACTCGTCCCGGTAGTACACCGAACATTCCACCTCGTAAAGACGGGGATCGTAAGGCTGTTGTGGAGCCGGCAGCGACGTCTGCAGCTGCTCCTCGGGAAGATCCTGTAAATCCCCTGCGTCTTGCACAGGCCCCTGCTGCTGCTCCATCTCTTCGTCATCATTGGAAAATATATAAGAAACTCCAATTCGGGGACCATCGTCTCGGTCCAAGCCCGTGGGATCCGCTGTGGGAACTTCCTTGTAACTTAGGTGGGTCAGTTTCTCCACTTGGTTGCCCATCACGCTGAAAATAGACATGCAGGGGGATTGGGGGTGGGAGGGTGAAAAGAGGAAGAAAATGAAACCATTATTTCGGAGACTGACTTCCTCTGAAGAGGGCACAATACAAGGGATGAAGAGCAGGAACAGACAGGCTTCCAAAAACGTGATCTTCCCCACCTCCCCCAATGGTATTTGCAGTCATTCTAAGGGAAGAAAAAAGGGGGGAGTTACAAGCCTAGAGCATAGCTCTTCTCCCCACCTGTAGGGTACTTATGAGAACCCACAACTCCACCTCCAAGGTGGCAGCAGCCTGCCCCCTACTAGCACCCCTGGGGCAACAGCAAGTTGCATCAGCCCAGGCCCCGGCTGCTGGCGCCCTCTCCACCTGCCACCGAACCAGCGCAGGGGCTTGTAAAGGGGGGGGGGGGCGATCACGAGGAAAAAAAAAGAAAAGTTTATGCCACCTCCCGATACCCCTCGACTCTCCCAGCTGAGCCCACCGCCAAAAGCTGGTAAAGCACCATCCCCTTCAATCCTAGGAGCTGGGAAATGGAGAGTAAAGCCCGCCCAGGTGAGCGAGGAGGCTCACCTGCTGAACTTCCTTCTCCTTCCCTCCGCCTGCCCCTCCCCCGCCCACTCGAGTTACCTGCGGAAACTTACCCGGCTTGGGGGAGGGGGAGAGAGGTAAGGGGCCGAAGGGAAGCAGCCCCCGCCACAATCCGAGACTTCTAAGGCAAGTTTCCCGGAGTCAGAGCAGCAGTCTCTTTCCCGGCGCCGATCGCGGGGATGGGCAAAGGAGAGCAAAGCATGTCTTCACCCCGAGGCTGGCGTAGATCACCTACGGACTTGGGTAGCGGTGGTATCTATACCTACCGCCTCCCTTTCCCTCTTCTCTCCTCTTCCTCCTTTCCTCTTGCCTCCTTTCCGCCCTCCGCTCTCAGCCGTGGAGGATGAGGGAATGGAAACCGGCTCAAGGTGCATAAGACACACAGCAACAGCAGAAGCAGCAGCTCCAAGCGAGCTCAGCGAGCAACAAGCGCCGAAGCTAGAGAGAGAAGAGATTGTAGATCCGGCTCCGGCCTCCCCCCAGTGAGAGTGCTGCCTCTAGCATTTAAAGAGACAGCGCCTCGGTCGGTCTTCCAAGCCTTAGCCTCTCCCACACTGCGCATAGCTCAGGTCCCCTCCCCCGTCCCAGCAAGCCTAGGGCGACTGGGCTCTTCCCCGTCTCCACGCCCCCGGCTAGACCCAGGTTTACTTCAACTTGGTAAATAATAAGCCGGCTGGCTGCCACTTCTGGCCGGGCGCACGTGGGCAGTCTCGGTTGTGTAATGCATTCCTTCTTATTCTTGTCTGGGTTCGGGCACCAAAGCAAAGGACTGCTAGGCTGTCTCTCGCCTGGTTCCCTCTTTTTTTGTCTGTAGCTTTAAGACGAAGTTGGGAGGCAGCTGCCACCTGCCCGAGTAGAAATTGGAGTTTTGCATCGGGCTCCCTGCCCCCATCCTTTCCTGGACTAGTAAGGGCAGAGCGGAAAGATTTCTTTTTCTTTTTTTTTGTTTTGTTTTTCCCAAGGAAGTTTATTTACGTGGATTTCGCTTGGGTGTGGTTTAGGTCGCTCCAAATAAACGGCTATAAGTACTTAATAAGATTATTGCAGATGCTAAGGAACGGTCCGGAATTGCTGCTTTGCGTTTGTTTACAACCCGGCGCAGATCTAAGACCTGGCTGGGGGCTGGGAATGGGGTTGGAATGAAAATGGGGAGGGATGCCAGTATAGGAAAGCAAAGAGTAAATACAGTGCTGGAAGAACAATTAGTCCTGGCCTGGCCCGGCCCCCACCAGCCGCTCTGAATGTGTTGTGTGTCCCCCTTGTGGTTGGTACAAAGTTAATTTCAGCAGGTAACTATTAGGAAGCTTACTATTTTCCAAGTGTCCTCTGTAAGTGGAGATAGCAAAACACCATTGAGAACTGAGTTGGGCTTTTTTTTTTTGTCTAGGTTAGACTTGGCTAGAAATGCCTAATTGTTTTTCAATGAGAAATAAATTAGCAAACGCCCGGATGGGACTATTTCTTTCCTGTTAGCTTAGCAAAAGAAAACAAGGTGTTTATTGCCTATTAACCTCCCACCAGTAGACTAGACCAGTTTTTCTTCCCCTGATTGTGCTTCTTTGTAATTCATATGACCAAAGTGAAGAAATCCCAACGGCTCTCTAGAATGGAGAGAAGGAGGAACTAGGGAGGGAGAAAGTGTTACTATTCCCAGTTTCCAGACTGTGAAAATGAGACCTCAAAAGGTATATTCCTAATGAGTTAGGGGTATAACTGGGAATACAACGAAAGACTTTACCCTATTTTCCACATCCTTGTGAATAGATTATTATATATTGTAAGCTAATTATACCTGGATAGAGGGGCAGACTATATAACATTACTGAGGTTCATCCAGCCACCCTACCACCCTCATAAAAAAGGGACCCGAATCAGTGTTATTTATGTAGTCTGTAATCTGTAGAATCAGTATTTGGAGAGTTGAGGTAGAACCGCGAGCGCGCGCTCGTGTGTGTGTGTGTGTGTGTGTGTGTGTGTGTGTGTGTGTGTGTGTGTGTGTGTGTGTGTGTGTTGGGGTCTTTCTAAAACCTCAAAGGGACATCAGAGTTTTAGATGTAACTCAAACAAAAAAAGGGACAAAGGCTTCTGTGTACTTTGAGATTAAATTTCTTTGTTTTGGAAGACAAATGTAGGCCACAGGATGCCAGATTTCTATAGTAGCTTTTGATTATCCAGGTCATTTGCTTTTAGGCTGCCTAAGTAGACATCTAGGTATAAGTGTAGACTTGGAATCACTTTGACACTTGCTAGCTGTGACTCCATAAGTGATCTCCCCTCTCTGAACTTAAATTCCCTTAACAGAATAATAATAGAGTTTGCACTGTCTAGATCATAAGGATTTTGTGAGGAACTAATTCTGTAAACCTTAAAGCCTATAGAAGTATGTTATTATTATTGTTATTGTTTTTATTATCTTGCCTTCAGCCATTTGTTAGCATCTATCCTTTGATGGGGGGGGGAGTTAAAAAGTGAAATCTTTAGGCAGCCGGCATTGCATTTAAGTTAATAGCTTTGGTGTATAAATTTCGTGGGGAAAGAGATTTAAGCTATTAAATGATATATCTATTTTGGGGGTTGTCTTACCTCTTTGTCTCTGAAGCCTACTTATGATTCAAACACTGATCACTCCACTTTCCTTTGTTCCTGAGCACTTAAGGTCCTCCCAAGTGATTATATTTAATCAAGCTCATATTTACATACACTGAGTGTTACTCTTTAGTTAGTTTATATGTGTCAATCAATCTAAACATTTATTAAGTGCCTACTATGTGATAGGCACTCTGAAGAGGACTGTGTGATGCAAAGATAAAACAGAAAATCTCTGCTATGAAAGACATTACATGTTATCCTAGAAATCTTTTGTCTTTAACAAAGTTGTAAGTTTCTCAGGGAAGGGACCACAGCAGCAAAATCAAGATGGAAAAAAGGACAAAGGAGTGAGGCGGAATTTGGAACTTAGATTTCATCTGTGTACTTTTACCCTATCCTTATCTTCTTGTCCATGTTTTCTCATAAATTTTCCTTAGTGAATCTACACAAAGTGCTTGAAGATTTTTTGTTCTTTTTATTTGTTTTAATGAATAAATTAAATGAAAAGCCAGTCATAACCTTAGCCTCTTCCTACTTTTCTGGGACATACATAGATCAACATATCCAGGAACAATTGCAGAGCTGATTTGATCATTGTTTTAGAATTGGTGAGGAGAGAGAGAGAGACAGAGAGACAGAATTCTATGAATCGTAGTAGAGGAGGTAGCAGAATAATAGGGACTGAAGGAGTGAGGTAAAGCATAGCCAGGGAATTCCTGAAATAGTGTAGTTTTTGAATCATCATAAGATAATGAATTTCGAGTTGAAAAATATTTCATTTTACATTGAATGACAAAAGACATTCATTTTACAGATAAGGAAACTAAGACCCACAAAGGGAGTGACTTATCCAAAGTCACAGGTATTAAGTAAGCTGGGATTTGAACTAAGATCTTCAGACTTCAAATTCAGCACTCTTCTCAGTGTACCATACTTTATGTATTCAACCTATCCATTGAACTTACTAGGTACAATTTTGGTTTTGGATATCTGCCCAATATGAAAACTCATGAAATGAATAAGAGATGCAGTTTACTAAGAATAAAACAAATAAAACCAACCAACCAACCAACAAACAAACCAGTCTTACACTTGAACTTAACCAAAGAGCTGCTCAGTCTGGCTCCACTCCTCCTTAATCCAGTCCTCTGTAATTTTAGTGCCTTCTTTCTGAAATAACTCCAATTTTTCCTGTATGTAACTTGTTCATACATAATTGTTTGCATGTTCTCTCCTCCATTACACTGTGAGTTCCTTGAGAGTAAGGATTGTTTTTGTTTTCATTTTTTTGCCCTTTTTTGTATCCCCTGTTCTCAGGGCATTTATTATATCTGCATTTAAATAAATAGTTCTTGACTCTTCAGTTTTATCTTTATTACTACCTTCCAAGCACGAAATGTTTAAGCCAATCTAGACTATTGTCTTCTGCAAACATTCTTTTCCGTCTTCCTCCATCTTTCTGTTCAAACTGTTTCCTATACTTGAAATGCCTTGCTAACTTTTATACCTCAGCCTCTTGGATTCCTACCTACCTTTTACAGGCCAATTTAAATGGCACCGCCTCTATGAAGCATTCCTTGATTCCCTTTGTTAGTAGCAACCTCCTCCAATGCTTCTCCTAACGAGTCTTTCACCTCACTGACACATTTATTGTTTAATATTGTATGGTATGGGTTGTATATGTGTGTATTTGTGCCTTCTTCCCCCTTGTAGGCTTCAGTAGCTTAACTATACATATCTCACAGAATATCCTACAGTGCTCTGCTCATAGTAAACAATGTTTTTTGATGAGAAAAAAATCACTTAATTCAATATTATGTGCCTACTGTGTGTAAGACACTACACTAGGGAAAAAAGTGCTTCCTTAATTGAATTGACTTAAAGGAGAAAAATGGGGTAGAGGCCATATACAAATATAAGTGTAATATAACATAGAATGTGATTTATAATGGAGTCAGGGAGTGCCCAAATTTACTTGAAGGAGGTTGGTAGGCTTGGCCAGATGAAAGAAGTGATCAGTAGGGCTGATTTAGGCATGGGGGCAACCTGTATGGAGACAGATCAATAAATATACAAATATACAAATCTTGAAAATCAGTTGAACTCATATAGGATGAGGAAGACATAACTGAATAGTAGTGATTCATATGAACTGGAAATTTTAGTGAACTGGAAAGGAAATATTAATTACTAAAGAGAGGGGATAGCCAAAAACAAACAAAAACCACTAACTAATGTGATCTTGGAGTGCTTTGGTAGAAGCATGGTATCCAGATGGTGGGAGGTGATTGTCCAGCTGTGTTCCTGGCTGATCAGACTTTATCTGGAGTATTGTGTTCAGTTCTGGATGGAACATTTTAAGAAGGACATTGAGAAACTGTAGAACATTCGGAGAAGAGTGACCTGGTAGAGGGAACTCGAAACCACATCTTATGTGTAAGTATTGAAAGAATTGGAGATATGAGCCTGTTGAAGGTCAGCTTTGAAAGAGACGTGCTACTTATCTTCATACATTCTAAGGGGTGTTCACAGGGAAGACAAATAAAATTTCTTCCACTTGCCACAGAATGCAATCTAGTCTAATTCAAAACATTTATTAAGCACTTACCATGTTCCAGGCATTAGACTAGGTTCTGGGGATATGAAGACAAAATAAAAAAGTAGTTTCTACTCTTCAAGAACTTACTTTCTACTGGAGAATACATATAAACAGATAAGTATACGTAGAAGGCAGAACTAAAATCAGTGGGTGGAAGTTATAGGGAGGCAGATTTAAACTAAAAATGTATATTTAAAACAACAGCAAACAAACAACTTTGTCTTTGATGGTCATGAACTCCCCATCACTAAAAGTATTCAAGCCTGATAACCAGTTAGTCAACAAGCATTTATTTAGTACTTACTGTTTCTCAGGTCCTGGCACTTAGCAGTGCTGCAGATACAAAGAAAGGCAAAAACATCATTGGCTATTAGGGAGCTTACTTTTTAGAGGGAGAAACAATGTATAAACATCTAATTATATATAATATGTATAGCATGATATATAAGTAGATGGAAGGTAATCAGAGAGGCAAAAACACTGATGCTGAGGGCAGGAGGGTGGCAGAAATACCTTCTGTAGGTGAAATTTGAGCTGATTTTTTTTTCTTTTTTTAAAAATTTATTTTATTGTTTTATTTTGATTTATCAACAATCACTTCCATATGCTTTTGAGTTTAAAATTTTTCTTTTCTTTTTTTTTCTTGGTGAGGCAATTGGGGTTAAGTGACTTGCCTAGGGTCACACAGCTAGTAAGTTTCAAGTGTCTGAGACAGGATTTGAACTCAAGTCCTCCTGACTCCAGGACCAGAGCTCTATCCACTGTGCCACCTAGCTGCCCCGAG